CTGAGCACTCCAATAACTGCACTGTGCTCCCAGACGTGGGGATGCTTGACCTAAAATCGGTGCTGTGACTTCCACAGTTACGCCTGTTCATGTCAAGCCACTTTACAGCCTAGCTGGAGCGGAAAGCAATATGAATAGAGTTCTCCAAGATGGGACTGAGCTGTGCGGCCTGGGCTTCCAACTGTCCGGGCTACACAGGAAAACACCAGCCCAGCCCGGTACGAGCCTGTGCTCTCTGTGACTAAGAATTACCAGGCAGCCCAGAGAAACAGGGGCAGCTGCTTAGGGCTGTTTTAAAGGCCAGAAAGCCTGTGAGCCGGCATCTGCTTCAGAATGCTCCCAGGGACTCAGAGAGGACAGAACATTTCCAAATAGCTGAAACAAAGGCTTACCTGAAGCTATAGTTTATTTTACTTGGCTTAAGTGTTCTGCGAGCCGTCATTTCTCTCCAGAATACATTGGCTCATATTATTAGGACCTCCCCCCTCTGGACTTGAGGACCAAACCCAGCGCCTTGAGCTTGCCAGGCAAGGACTCTACCACTGAGCTAAATCCCCAACCCTGGGGATATTTATCTTTAAGATGGTATTTTCTGTAAATTTAAATTGGATGCCCTCACACCTCGGTATGAATGAGCATGGGCACATGGAATTTGACCTCCCCCCCAGACTTTAGCTCACGTTGGGTTTTGCTTTTCTTGTTTTTGTTTTCTTTTCAGAGTCTCTCTCTGGCCCGAAACTCACAAACGAGGCTAGGCTGGGCCCCAGTATTCTCTGCCTCGCAAATGCTGGGATGGATTGTAAGTTCTCTCTACTACACCTCACTTTTGCACATGATACTGGGGCAGAACACGGGTCCTCTTGCTTGCAGGGTAAGCCTTACACAGACGAATCCCCCAGAGCCTGGTTTTCAGTAGCGTATGGTAGGTCTTCAGTACTGTTAAGTCCAGCAGCGTGTGGTTTTGATAAACTGAAGTGGCCTCCAGGAGGCTGTCTCTGAGCTCCGGTACATTGTTGTGCGGGAGGACATGATGCTTCTCAACCTTCATGAAATGGCACATCTAGTTTTTTTCCTCTTTGAAATTCTTCTAGATGCATGTAAGCCTGGAGTTGCCATCCATGATTAATTAGATGGAAAAGTAGAGGGGGAAGAAGGGGAAAAAAAAAAACCTTTGAGCTTGGTTCTGGCCTCTAACAGATCGAGATTTTGGACAACATGGACGATGATTTACTGAAAGTAATAAAATGATATCAGTCCTGCCGAGGAGTGGTGACCGAAGAGTCAGGCCATCTGCGTGCACAAATTTGGATAGAGCAAGCTCGGAACTCGTTTATAGGGTTTACACTATTTTACTACTTTCTTTCCAGAGAAGTGCACATCACATTGCACAAGGCATGTGGGCTCCGTGTCTCCTCTGCCGAAAGCATTCGGGACGGAGAAGACTCCTCACGCACTGTTATTTCAAGCCTGAATTTGTGCCGAGCTATTGTACAGAAATATTTGGTACTCAAGAATCTCAAGGTTTGGATTCAGATCCACCTGACAGCCTGAGGGTGTCACACCCGTTGGTGGCACATGATCGTGAGGCTACCGCAGTGGATCTGGTCTTTGTAACTGTGTCTACCTTTGCATGGCTGTGAAACCAAACCCAGCGTGGGCAATGCGCAGACTAAACGATAGCCTCTACTTGATGCAGATTTAGGGGAGGAAAAAAAAAACAAAAAAACCATTCCTCTTCACACTCATTCTCAGCAGCTCACACAGGTTGGTTGATTAGGAATGCTTTGACATTTCTGGAATTTCAGAATGTGTGAATGGCCAAGTATCATCTTGATGATGAAATAATGAAATGAAATAATTTCAGGCAGAAGTGTCAAATATTTTCTGAAGGCACTTCAGTGGGGCCCTCATGGCGTTGAGGGGTCTGCTGGTACCTGTTTTCTTTTCGTTAGAATAATGGCATACAAATGTCTCCCTGCCTCCCCCCCCCCCCGTGTGTGTGTGTGTGTGTGTGTGTGTGTGTGTGTGTGTGTGTGTACAGAGGCCAGGAGTTGATCAAGACATGCCAGCATATTTACCTTTTCATGGTGATGCCGGGGTTTGAACTCAGGTCCTAGCACTTGCATAGCAAGTGTTTTGTCCACTAAGCTGTCTCCCAGCCCTCATAGTAAACACTGTATTTCCTCCCCAAGGCTGAGCTCTAGGGTGCAGCCATCTCTCTGCTTTGCCCAGGGACCACCATCCAAGCTGCCGGCTGCACTCCCAGATGCTCTCCTCCTCCGAGGGTGGCCTGGCTTACCTATGAAGGAAGACACAAGACAGCCAATGTCACATGGTGTGTGAGACTTCAGGATGGATACCTCCCCGCTCAGAGGTTTCTGCCCGAGCCTCAGTGGAGCACTGTGATTCGAAAGCGACACGGCAAGATGAGTGATAAATACTGAAAATCACCCCTCCTCTCTTTCAGGGCCTGCTTTTTTTTATTTTAAAAAGGTATCTTTCATCAGCCTAGCACAGAGTTCCTTCTGAACTAGTACTTTACTTAATTGTTGTCTATATTCAGGCGGCCAGTTAAAGCAATGGCTCTCAACCTGCGGATCGAGACCCCATTGGAAACCAGGTTGTTTACATTATAATTCATAACGGTGGCAAAATTACAGTTACGAAGTAGCAACAAAAACAATTCTATGGTTGGGGGATCACCACAACATGAGAGACTGTATTAAAGGGTCAACATTTCATATAAGTTACTTACACATAAATTACTTAATTTTTTTCGCCTGGATTAACAATAGATTGGTTTCATAGTCTTCCTTATCTCTCACTGGGGGTTCAAACCGAACCTGATCACCTCAGTCAACCTCCTGTGGAAATCAGCAAGATGAACTAAAGATTTCCTGCCAGAATATTCGCTAGTAATTCCCATTCACCTTCGCAAACACCACACTCCTCATCGTCTCTGGTTGACGGCTAGGGTCCCCTGGAAAGTAACTGCTGTATGTCTGCGGGACGCTATCAGGTAACACACGGACCTGTTTAACAGGAAATAAAAGGGGCCCATTTTATTTCAACACGCCAGTGTGGGGACTGCAGTGCCCTCTCCAAGCAAAAGCCGCTTAAGCAGAAAAGCGTGTAGTGAGAGCAGAGGCTGGAATGTTCCCTTCACATTAAATACTTCCATCAGGGCCTAGATTGTAGCTCAGTTGGCAGAGTGCTTGCCTGGCAGGCAGGAAGCCCTGCATTCCTTCCTGAAGCATCGCATGAGCCCAGAGAAGCGACCAGCGTCCAGGACTGGGAGGCAGGAGTTCAAAGTTATCCTAGTGATTGATACACAGGAAGTTCAAGATCAGCCCGGGATACACGAGACCCTGTCTCAAAAGGAAAAAAAAAAAAAAAAAAGTATTTTATTCTAACCCTCAAATATGACTGATTTCAAAGCTTCGTTAATTAAAATCCCTATTGAGCAAAAGAAGTAGCACCTGGCTGGCTTAAATTAATAAATATATACTACGTTTAATGTATTCTGCCTTCAGATTTGCTGGTAGAAACCAGTCGTTATGTAACAGCTTGGGTTCTTCTCTCTCTTTTTCTTTTCCTTTTTTTTTTTTTAAGAAATCAAACCCTTTACAGTTATATCTGGATAAATAAATGAGGTCAATCCACTAAACGTTTTGTAATTCAAGTAGAAGGAAATAAATTCTTTGCTTAGAAAAAGAGGCAGAGGCGGGAGTGGCTTATGGTGAGACGCCTGTAACCAGCTCTCTGAATAAGTTAAGCAGGAAGCACGAATTTGAGGGTTGTGGGAGGTACAGTCCTAATTCATGGTCCTCTGAAGTAGAAGGCAGAGCCTGATGGACACAGGCACCCTTCGCTGGCTGTGAGCCATTAAAGCTAATATTTTTTCTCAAGCACACCCAAATGTTGGGGTGGGGTATTATTATTGTCGTTGTTCTACACCACACCACAGTGCACCTCTTGGTTTGGAGGCCAAGAAAACTTGAGGGCTCTTCTCACGGTCCAGACCCCTAGGGGAGGCAGATCTTCTTGGCCGCAGGTGTTTGGGAGGGGACTGGCCTCTCCACAAACCGCCCCAGGCCCCGGGGGGACTCTCAAGTCAACTGGTAGTGCCACCTAGGCCTAGCCGCACAGAGCTCCCTCAGTCCGATTCGGGCGTGTACTCAGAGCGCCCTGGGTCCCTGTCGGAGTCGCCCGGGGTCTCCGCGACTTTGACCCGCAGGAGCAGGCAACGGCAGAGCCAAGCCGCCTCCAGCCATTTCCAACTCTGCCCCGGCAACAGCGCCGGAGCCCCAGCCAGGCGACCCAGCGCCGCGCCACGCCGCGCGCGCGCCCAGAGAAGCAGCTGTTCCCAACAGCTGGGGGGCGGCGGCGCCGGGCGCCCCAGGTGCTGTCCCGGCCAATCGCGAGCGTCCGGCCCGCCCCCTCCCCAGCCGGGCGTCGACCCCCGGGCCGCGAGGCAGGGGAGCAGAGGGGTGGAGAGCGGTCCTCTGTCCGCACTGGTCCGGCAGCTCCCAGGCAGGAGGGACGGTCCCCAGCCCCAGCCGGGCCCAGCACCGCGCCCCCAGCTGCCACCTCCGCGACCCCGGGACGCCGTGGCCTCCTAGCCAACCCCCCTCCTACTCCAGCCGCCGATCTTTTTTTTTTTTTTTTTTTTT